ATAAATGAACTTATTCTAAATATAGATTTTGCGATTCACATACTAGAAAGTACTATAAAAGGAAATAGTACTATCAGAAAAAGCAGGTTAAGTTGATTTTAGTGAAACACTGATAGGAAATTTAGAAGTAAACAAAAATGATACAACTTGTCACTAGTGTCATTAGAAAAAAAGCTAGTGACAGAAGCTAGTGATACGAATAATAAGTTCTTTAGAAATTCTAGGCTGAAAGAAAGTCTTCTTGATGGATATCACTAGTATTACTAGTATCACTGAAAAAAATCTGAGTCTCTTAACTTTTTTATTTTTTATACACTACATATATATTATATATTTATCATATTATATCCCATATAGGCCATAGGTGGCATAGAAAATTTTTGATTTTTTTTCCTAGAATTTATTACCTTTTTACTATTAATACTAGTGATACTAATTAAGAAAGAAATGAAATAGTATAATAAACTTAAGAAATATAATGAACATGTCATTAGTTCTGTTATTAGTTCTATCACTAGTTCTGTATACTAACTGGTGACACTAGTGACACTTAAAAAAAATAGCATACTCATCATCTCAACCTAGATTAAACTATGATTGGATTTCAGAAGTGCTTACAACATCCCGCCAATATATCAGCAATAAATAGGCAATAATTAGGTTATAAAATAATGTACTTCTAGTAATCAAATGGGTTTAGGCTAAGATAATACATATTACATCTCCAATTTTCTACTAACCAACCATCTATCAGACTGAAACTCGATAGTGTTAGGAAGATTTCAGAAATATATGGATACAAAAAATATGTAACACAAATATATAGAGTTTCAAGAATGTTCTGAAAATGTTTCTGTCACTAGCTCGTAACTATAAAAGGGTATTTAGTACTATAATAGGATCACATAACTGGTGCAATAAGATGCAATATAAAATCAGCTAGCATTATTTCACAATTCCAGTCAGCACATAAATTCAACCAGATCAGCCAAAATTAATCACAGATCTACTGTACTACCTAATATAATATTATTTTATCATATTTTGGGATCTAGAAAGGCAACTAAATAAGCATAAAGGAAAAGCACTCCAATATAGAATTCAGCATCTAATCAGGTGTAGAATGTCAGCATCCTTAATATAAAACCAGATATCCAAACAGCTACAGAGAGCTAACAACTTCATTATAAAATTTAGCATATAAATAATTCAAAAATAAGAAGAAAAGCGTGATATTAAGACTATATACATGTGATAATTAGATTATATTATGATAATAAAAGTATATTAGCATAAAAATATGAATATCAAGAAGGATTTAAAAATATAGCTAGAATGTAAAAGTAATATAAGAAATAATAAAATATTAGATTATGTGTGATATTTAGACTGTATCATTTAGATTATATGTAGTAATTATATTACATCATTTAGATCATATGCGGTATTTAGATTCTATATGTTATTTAAATACATATAATATTCAGATTATATGAGATATTTAGATCATATGTGATACTATAATCTAGAATAAGTAGAATGTCACATATAATATGATTATATTACATATAGCATTTTACTAATTTTTATAATTAAAAAGTAAAATAATATTTAAATTCTATTATAAAATTTTAAAAAAAAATAGTAAAAATTTTAATTTCAAAAATAAATTGGTTAGTTTTAAAAATATTTTAGATAATAGTTTATTTTATTAATTAAAAAGTCATTGTAAATTTATAGAGAATAAATTATTTTTTATTTTATATTATTATATGTATATACAGTATATATTAATATTAAAATTAAATTAGTTTAAATTTGATTTATTAAATAATATGAGAAGTTTGTTAGAAAAATAGGACTCTGAGAATTTTTATAACTAAAATTAAGATCTTATTACATTTTAATCTAATAATATCAAAAACTAAATACAATAAAAAATAAAATTTTATTAATAAATTCTCAAAGCTTTATTCTTTTAGTAAACCTCTTATATATTAAAAAATTAAAGAAATAAATTGAAAATTCTTTGAAAAATCAAATTTTCAATATTTATTTTATATATCTTATAATAAAAATGATTAATAAAATAATAATATTTACTAAAATTATATGAAATAACTTAATATTTTATTAATATTTATTATTATATAATATTTAGATAAAATTATAATATTAAATATATGGCATATATTTGATTTATAATAAATAAGTTTACAGTCAACTTTTGTTATAATGAACTCTATATTCTAGATCTCAACTTTGCTATAAGGTTATAGTAAAGATTTTAAGAGATTTGATTGGCTAATTTGTTATAACAAGAGTATTTTTATTATTATTTGTTTAAAAAATTCGTTATATTAAGAGTTCGCTATATCAAGTGTCAACTGTATTGATTAAAAAAATTTTAAATTCATAATATACATAGTAAAAATAAAAAAAATAAAAAACATGATATAATGTGATAATATTTTAACTGTAAATAAATTATAAATATTTTTTGAAATTATAAATTTTAATATATTTATTTTATTAATATATATTTATTAGAACTTGAAAAATAACTTATATTAACTTTTATTTTAATTTGTATATTTGTAAATTTTTATTAATATAGTCTATTTTAATAAAAATACTTTAAAAATTAAGATTTTTAACTTATAACTTAATTTGACTTAATTTATTAGAAATTCTAATATTTATTATTTATTATTAAAAATGTTTATTTTATAATTAAACTTATCAAAAATTATATATATATATATATTTTAAATATAATTTTAATTTTAATTATTTTTTTATAAAAAAATATTTATTATTTCAAGTTAGATTATCTTATTATTATATTGTATATTCAGATTTTTTTTCTTTTATTTAAAGTTATATTAGTTATATTATAGTTAAAATTTTTATTATCCTTTATAATTATGATATATTTTTTTTAATATAAAGTATAAATATTATTATTTTAGATATCTATATTTATATAATATTTTATATAGAATTATATTTTGATTTTTTATTTTTATATTAAAATTTAAATTAAATTTATTGAAGTTTTATAAATTTATTTATATAAATAATTTATATTTGATTATATTTCTAATTTTATAATTTTATATTTACAAAAGTTTTAATAATATAAATATTAAAAAAATATTAAATATTAATATTTATATAGAAAGTTTTATTAAAAAAAAAAATTTCAAAATTTTTAATCCTTAAAAGTTATTAATAAGATAAAAAAAAAAAATTTTTTTAAAAAATATTAATATATTTAATAAAAAAAACTATTAAAAAAATATTTAGATATTATTTTAAATTTTCTAAAGTAAGTCATTTTAACCATTTATTTTTATAATAGAATATTTAGTATAAAGGATGTTTATTTTTTTCTTCTATTTCAAATTATAAATAATCTTGTAATAAGAAATTAAAGTTTAATTAATACTTTATTCAAGAAAATCCCTTTTTCGATTACAATACGATTTGATTGGCTAATGCTTGTACGGTCGATCTATCCGATCGATGCACAATCTTGAACCAATCAAATTCAAAGGAGATTGGACCTAAACCCAGGTAGCAAGGCTAAGGATCACCATCAGATTTATTGGAGCCCGGAATCGACCAATCAATTAGAAATAAACATTTCTTCATTATGTTACTAAATGGGCCACGGATCCATCCAGTTATAAAACGATCAATACTTGTTGTTTATTTTTGAAAATATCTCGGGTTCAAAATGTATTTAAAATAATATTACCTCAATTCAATTTTCCAAAGTAGAGGATGAACGAATCGGAATTTTTACTGCGCTTGTAAATGTGTCACATAAAGACTCATTGGTAGCAATTTGTTATAATGCATGGAATTTGATGTTACTTTGTTACTTGAAAATCTCCAAATTTCCAAATTCAATATAATCAATATGATTTTTCTTTCATATGAATTCCTGTTTTGGAAGGTTGTTATGAACACATCATATCATTAGTTATTTACATCCTAAATAAAAAGAATGAATTTCCTTATCGTCTTCTCAACCTCATTTTCACTTTTTTTTTATCTTTTCCTTTGTAAAAAAAAAAAAATAAAATAAAAATAAATGCAAAAATCGTTGGAGGAATCGGAATGTCTATTTTGGCCGGATATTATGAACGACTTTAAACAACTTTTGGAAGCCAAAGAAGGATGTGATGTCATATTTTACGTTGGTGAAGAACCGATCGTTAAGAAATTTTACGCACACTCACTTATACTTGGGTGCAGATCACAATATTTCTCGATATTATTTTCAAATGTAATCAAGAAAGTAGATGGATGTTTTATTATAAAGAAACCAAATATCCCTTCAGAAAATTTTCATAATATATTAAGGTGGGCTTTCGTTAAAGAACCTTTATGTTAAAAAAAAAAATATAAAATATAAAGACTTTTTTTTTCTAATTCCCTATGAATTATTTATTTATTTTTATTTTTATAGTTATATATATTGCGGCGATATAAATTTAAAACAGCATAGCGGAGAAGATATATTAAATATAATAGTAGCGGCATCGGAATTTTACTTAGAAAATCTTGTCGAACACGCAAAAGATTACCTCTTTACAAATCGTAAGGAGATATTGCAAAACGGCAATCCTCTCGAACTTCTCATGTTAACTTTTCAACATGATTCATTATTTTCGTTACAGGATATGATCATTCAATCAATCTGTCAAAAACCTAAAGTAATTTTTAATACACAATATTTTTATTGCCTTCCACCAAATGTCCTGGAGACATTGATTAAAAGGGAAGATTTGAAATTGGATGAAATAATTATCTGGGAAAATTTAGTTAAATGGTGCATTTATCAATGTAAATATTTTGAAAATGATAAGGATATTTTTACAATCAATTTTAGTGATATAGAAATAAATACCATTAAAAATACACTTGAGAATTACATTTATTTAATTAATTTTCAAGGAATTTCTGCCAGAGACTTCATAAACAAAGTGATGCCATATGAAGAATTATTACCAAGGGAACTTAAAAAGGACATTTTAAGATATCACATGTTACCAGGCATTGAAAGTCCGGACAGCCCAAGCTCAATCAACACGCCAGAACCTCCTCAATCTCCTACGGCATCATTAAGTTCAGAATCATCCGATCCAATCACTTCAATAATAACATGTTCTTATTTCCCCCCACAACCTCCACAACGAAAGATGGCGCATATAGATTCGAATTTGATCAATCATTTACACGTGGCCTTGTTTGCGACTTGGATTGATAAAAAATCCGAGATATATTACAATTCAAAATCAATCATTTACGAATTTAACTTACTTTTCAGGTCATCGAGGGATGGAACTTATGGTAATACCTTTCATAAAAAATGTGATAGGAAAGGCCCAACCATTGTGATAGCAAAAATCAAGGATTCGAAAATATTAATTGGAGGGTATAACCCTATAGGGTGGGAAGGTGATTGTATCAAATCTACTTTAAATAGTTTCTTATTTTTATTTAACGATTCAAATGATGTTGTTACGGGAAGGATAGGTAGGGTTATCAGACCAAAAGGGTCCATAAGATGTTTCAAAGGTTGGGGTCCCATATTCGGTGATTTAAATGGTGATAGCAATGATTTGGCCATGACAAATTTGGGTAATTGGAGTTCAAGCAGTGGTTCTTACGAAAATGTCGGAATCCCTAATCATTTTAAAGTTGAGGAATGGGAAGTATTTCAGATAAAGAAGAAGAAAGAATATGAATTATTAGGTATATAATAATAAAATTTTATTTTTTTTTATAAAAAATTCATTTTGATCTTAATTCGGGCCGAGAGTCACACTCGAGGTAATTGTTTTCCAGTAATGGTAATAATGTTGAATGAATAATGATTATCCTAATATAGAAGCTCAATGCCGCAAGTATAACGAAAATAATTGGTACTTTCTAGGCGTTTGTATGATCATTTTTTGCAATAGAAAAGGGCGGAATATGCCAAATTTGATTTTTAAATCAAAATATGTTGAGTTTTTGCATTAACTCATTTTTATTTTTCCAGTCGTTTCCCCCCTTTTCTATTGCAAAGGTCCCATACCCAATTATACGATATTTTCGTTCATTTAATGCCGCAGAATTCCAACAAAATTTGGAATCTGTTCAACACAATTAATTGGAGGAACGAAAGCGTAAAAATTACAATGAATAGTATCTTGCAAATAATTTAATCTAGCAGATTGGGAAATAATAAAAAATCTTTTCTTTTTGGCAATTGAAACAATAATTGGTTCACACAAATAAGCACCAAATAATTTTTGTATTTCAATTAAAATGAAATACAATGCAATTGTAATTGATAGATTTGCCATTTACATAAAGATGAAACATTTATTTTTATTTTTTTTTTTTTTTGAAACTTCGAGCAATGGAATTTTGAAATTTATTTTATTCAAAACGAGTAGATGATGACGTTATTATATATATCATTAATTGAAAAATAAAAACTAAAAATTCTAATTAAGTGTCTAAGTATATATTATTATTATTATTATTATTATTATTATTATTATATTATTGTAATTTATAATAGATGGGTTAATTTTATTTTACATTATCTAACTACCTTATCACTTTGATTTATATAATATTTACAGTTGTTATTACGATGTAAAGCCTTTAAGCGCAATAAGTTCGTCGATAAAGATTTGTCAATTTGTAATAGAAAATATTTAATGTATTATAATGTCCCTGCATTCGTCTATCAGGAATCTATATACCAATCGATAATTAATAACCATTGATTTATCTTAACTGAAGCATGCTGTTAAACTTCGACTCGTTTGATTGATTTCTTATCCTCCTCTTCTCATTTTCGGCGGCTTTGATGCTTTTTACGGACTTTTCGCGTGTACCAATTTTTCTCAAAGGATCTTCTGATGCGATTGAAGGTAGTCCACTAATTACTCCCAATATATCTTGGATTCGAAGAAGTACCGGCTTCTCAGTTTTTTGAGGTTCTTGGACCACATTTTTTGACATACTGCCCGTAATCGGTGTGACGATTTCTGTTATAAAGTTTAAACCCACATTGCTATTAATAGCGACATCATCGATAACATCGACAACAGTTTCTTAATTTTATAAGATATCTTAGCTTGATTAACCCATTGTTAAAAAAACTCAAATAACAATGTAAATCTCATAGGCACCATTCTCTTTTTCCAACTGAATCCTCTTGATGCTCCGAGTATCAACTTCTTGAAATGTTCTCTAATAAAATCAAATATTGCAAAGACTTTATAATAATCATCAATTTATAAGAGATAAAATAAGTGACATTACCGAATCATTCCAATCGATAACTTTTCGTTTCTTGGTCATTAATTCAGATTCATCAATATTAGGGTAGAAACTTTTAAATAGGGAGAAATTTCTACAACTGACATTTTCCATGAACCAATCATCCTTTGGCTCAACCCTCTTATTTGCCCATAACTTTCGAACTCGAGGATTTTGGTAAAAATCTTTTGGTGGTTTGTCTCTTATGTGATTAACCTTTGTCACTTTCGTTTCTTCCATCATCATTTTCGCGAACTTCATTTTTTTCGCCATTTCCTTCTTTGTTTTCGCTTCCGCTATAGCATTTCTTGCTTCCGATGAATTGCCTTTAGAAGCTTCCTTTTTCGCTCGTCTCCTGATTTTCATTAACGCTTTATGTGCGACATTAAGTTTAGCCAACACCTTTGTTGGCATTGGATCGGAAATTTCAATTTTATCATTAAATTCTAAAGTGCACGAGTGCAAGTTATGTGTTGGGTCAAGATAATCCTTGTACTTTGGTGGTTTCAGTCCTTGATTCGCTCTACAAAGTTTTTCCAAACTCAATACTGGACCCGGATTTGACATCAAATAACCATATGGATTCGTGGTTGATGGAAACGCCACGTTGATGAACGATTTTAGACTTTTCTTAAAGTCTTCTCGCTTCTTATGTAGAATCTCATTGGCAGATCCCTTTATTCGTGACTTTGCCCGTTTGGAAAATTTCTGACGTTCAATAACGTCCACTGGTAAATGAATTTTTTTAGGAACTCCCAAAGATTTGAGCGTAAAGAAGCGCTAAATAAAGGAAAAGAGGTTCCTTTAATACCCTTTCATACTAAAAAACAGTCATGTTTACATGAAGACTTAATAACATAATTTACTCACATCTTCCCTTCCTTCTGACTTGATATCTTTCAAAACGTGCGGGCGTCTTGAACTTTTACAAACCTTGGAATAAGCTGTTATTCGTTTGACAATTCCCATATCACTCTACTTTATATAAGAAAGACAAAAAAAAATAAAAGAGAGAAAACAGTAGATTCAGTCGAATGGGGTTGAGAATCCAAGATTCAAAAAATGAAAAAGAAAGGGAGCTTTTTTATAGTTTGTGAAAATTACATCATAAAAATATGCGAAGGGGAAAAACCAATAAAAGAACATAAAGGAACGTTACGCAAATATACGATTATCTCAAACGCGTCAAAAATTAGTAAATCCTCTTTCATTCTTCTATCTTTTTTGGTCATTGTATAAATAAAAAAAAAAAAAAAGAAAAAAAAATATTATTGACCTTTTTTTTCTTTTTAAAAATAAATTAAAATAGCGATAGCTAATTAAAACGATATAAAAAAAAAAAAAAAAAAAAAAAAGTCACTATCATGTTTCAAAGCCACGAACTTTCTTAAATGTAATGTTTATCTCTATCATCTGCCAATATATCGAATATTCCGAAATTCCGAATATCATAGATCACGATTTTCTGTGCACATCGTATGTTTGTCATTTTCGCCTTGTACAGTATGTTTTTGTTTCACATTTTCTTTGAGATAATTTAACGAAGAAACGTTTGGAAAAATTTTTGTTAGTCCAACATTCGTTTTATGCACGTGATCAAACTCCCAAGCAAGTTAAAGCAGATCCGTGTAACTAACAACTTGGGAAATCGAACAATGTAATATGAGGCTGGTTTTTACTTCTTAGATTTATTGGAACTATTTATAAATTCTTTTTGGGAGAAAATATAATAATTATAAGTTTACAATTTACGAGTTTTGGTTGGCAAGTTCAGGAACATTACAGACAATATAATAATTTAAAAATGTGTACGCCCATTGTTCATTGTTCAAATTTATTTATTATAATTAAAAATAGATGTTTTTGTTATCGTTATTTGTTCAAGTTGAACTCTTGTAATAATATAATCTCGTGTCCATGTCGATCCACAAAAACGACTTTAGGAGGTCTTTTATTGACAAACGTAATATTAATAATAGATAAATATATAAAAATAATAAATTCCTTTTCTTAAAGGACGAAAAAGAATCAATATTATAACTTACCGGGTTATGGCAGGATTCACCTTAACTTCATCTTTAACAGTAACAATCTCTTTTACATATCCTTGCCTTGAGCTATCACAATATACCGGTTCGATATGTTTTAATTCCTATTTAATTGGTAAGGGCGTTGTATCATTTTCAAACAAACATTATTTTAGATTATCGTAAATAAATCCTTCAGCCTCAGCTTTAAAATTCAGAAACTTTCTAAAAAAAAAAAAAAGTCACCAACATAAAATTGATTTGAAGACATTTTAATGTCTTCGTTGGGAAAAATTTTTTTGATTTTTTTTGACCAGGTAATTTTGGAAAAAAAAAAAAAAATTTCGTTTTAGACGTTCTTTTTTGATTGACGGGTGGGCTTATTTATACAATATATATCGTGACAAACTTCAGACGCTTAAAACAATAAAATGATGCAACCATTACACATGTGAGTGTTTATATATCTTTCACGAGAAAATGCATGACTTAACGTTTGCGTATGTTATGATGTTATGATTGTAATTTCATTAACCAAATATAAAATCCATCAAAAATAAGTTTGACTTTATAAAGACTTAAAAACAAAAGTGAGTGATTTTATCACATGATTTATTTACATAAGAAAAAACAAATTTTTGATACTGTCCTACAAAGAAAAAAAAAATTCCTTTTTTTAAAGCTATGCAGATCTATGCTCTAAGTTTCTATTCAAAGGAGATTTGTCACCCCAGTAAATCAAAGAATCATAAACTAAGCCGGCAACCAAACCACCAACAATTGGAGCTACGATAGGAATCCAAAAGTAGAAATTATGTTCCGAGAAAACTTTAACACCGTAACCAACAAAGAAAGTAAACAACCTCGGACCAAAGTCACGAGCACCATTTAAACTAAAACCGGTTTCATAACCAAATGAAATGGCAATGGCGGCCAAGGTAAGACCAATCGTGAGTGGGGTAACAATTCTAGCGGTAGGCGCATTACGTTCATCAGTTAAGGCAAGGATGATCAATAATAAGAAGAAGGTTCCAAGAGCTTCAGAGAAGAAGGCACCCAAGTTTGACATGAATGGTTGGGGATAAGTGGCAAAAATACCAGCCGTCGCATTTTGTCCCGTAACACTTCTATCACCTCCAGCAAAATTGTCGATGGCCGACACGTAATTAAAGTAAACTACCGCAGCCGCGACAAAGGCTCCAAGAGTTTGAGCGGTAATGTAAATCGGAACTTTAATCCAAGGGAATTTACGAAAAACTGCCATGGTGATAGTAACGGCTGGGTTCAAATGACCTCCAGAGACGGCCCCGCTAACTACAATACCTAATGCGAGACCTAAACCAAATCCTAAGGCAATCGTAATCCAATTCCCATTTTCTCCTTTACTGAGGACAGTTTGAGCGATACTTCCTACACCAAATGAAACCAAAACAAAAGTTCCCAAGAATTCTGCGAATATATCTTCAAATTTATATTTAATAAATTGCCACCCTTGTCTTTGAATTACAATCACATCATCTGAACTTGATCCTCCTTCATTAGTTTCAGTTGCTCCGTAATTTGATGGTCCACTTTTATTGATTGCTCCACGTTCTTCTGCCATTTTTCTTTTTCTTTTTTTGTTTCCTTCTAAATCAAGAGGAAAGAAATTTGGAAAGTTTTATTAATAAATAACTCGAGGAAGAAATCTCTTGATTGATTATCATTTTGTGAAGTCGCTGATTTATATCAATTCCATCTGAAAAAAATTTTCCCATCGGTGTAATGAGCTTATTCCTATCTAATAAAAGCACAAACACTTTAAAAAATCGAATCTTAATAACAATCATTGTTTGTTGTGCAAGGCGTAAAATTATTTCTAAAAGGTTTTATTAAAGTGAAAAAAAACTAGTTTTTTAACTTCACCCCCTTAATGCTTGACTATTTATCATTACATTCAATAAACTTTTTGATACACAGTCTTGTAGATCATTTCAAGAATAAAAACTTTATATTACATCATCATAATCTCGATGGTTGGATGTGATAGATAATGCTTTTGTTTATTTTATCTATCTTTATGATTTCCCTTTTATAATTATATTTTGAGAAAGAAAGTTTTATCAAAGAAATCGCTAAATGTTGTACAGAATGCATTACAGACTTTATTGATTTTTTTTAAAGATTGATAGTCAATGTTTGGGTAGAATAACGCCACAGGGGTTTTTTGTTATCGAATCTAACACAGATTTAGTTTTTTTTTTTGTTAATCAGAAAAGGTAAATAATTTCTATTATTCTAAGGAACGGAAGATAGTTTTTGCTGTGTGATACTTTTGTCATTACGACCAGTAGAAATGTCACTTGAGCAACCAAATTTCTTGTGATTTCCAACAGATATCCGTACATAATAGAAGATGGTTTGAATACAAACTTGGTACCGGTGGATCAATTATACGGATCGTATTGAAAAGATTTTGCCGTAATGTCTTTATCAAATTTGGTTTGAAACAAACTCATATTCGATCAAAAGAATATGTCTTTGTTAATGTGTTTAGAGAACGTGTGGAATCTTAAAATCAAGTTAGAGTTTAGGTTTAGCTCTTTGGTTTTTGTTTAAACGGGCATCTATTGAGAAACAAAGATGGAATCGGAAAACAAGCTGATACTTTCAATAAATACATCAATCCTTCTATTCTTCTAAGGCTTTTTGGAAAACCATACTTCTGCATAAAGAAAAGGTCATCTCGTAATTGATGTTGATTAAAGAAAAAAAGGTGATCTTATTGAGTCCAAATGTAATACTGTTAACATGCTTATTGGATAAAGTAGATTATACAGACCGAATCGAATGTTGAAATATCTTATCAATCGGAATTTTAAGGTCAGTAAATGTACAAATTCAAACCTGTGATTTCTACAAATGATGACTAACTAAGTTTAATTTACTAAATCATCTTTACATCAGAGACGTTCAAATGTTTCCAAACGAGAACAAAGATGCCTGTGTATGCGATTAGGATTATTGTGAATTATCTAGATTATTAATATTACCTTATTACCTTTTATTTAAAAAAAATAAAAAAATTTCTTTTTAATAAGTATTAAAGGTATTTTAATATTTAGTAATTAAAAATTAAATTAGTAAAATTAATAAATTGTAAATAATTTATTTTGAAATTTTATTTTAAAAAATTAATATTAAAAAATATTAAAAGATATAAATTATTAATATTAATTTAACATATTAATTTATTCTTAATTAATATAAATACAATGTATATTAATAATATATTTATAGAATATTACAATAAAATTACAATAAAATTACAATAATTAATATATATTTAAGAATTTATAGTATTTTTAATTTTTTATAAAAAAAATTGCTTTTTTATCTAAAATAATTTTATAATATTATTATTTTATTTATTATAATATATTTTATAATATATATATATTATAATTTAAATTCATCTTAATATTGATATATATTAAAAATAAAATTAATTTTATATCTATATTCATTTAAGATAATTTTTAATATATTTTAAAATTATAAAAGATATTAAAAATAAATATATTAACTTAATTCTTTAAAAAAATAAATTTATAAAAATATTATAAAGATATAATATTTTAAAATATATTATATTTTTAAAAAATTTTATAATTTTATATTTTTTATTTTAAAAAATTAATATTAAGTTATAATATACTTATAAAATAAGATATTTAAAAATATTATTTTCTTTAGAGTTTTAAATAAATTAAATTTAAAAACTTAAATTAATAAAGAAAATTTTTAAATTTTAATATATTTAAATTTACTTAAATTAATTTAAATTATATTTAAATTTAATTGTTAAAGTATAATTACAAAATACCTATATTTTATATTTAAAATATTTTTAAAAACTAATTATAAAAAATATAATATTATAACAAATAAAATATAATTAAAATTAATTTAATAAATATTATTTAAACTGTATATATAAAATTATTTCAAAACATTTTAAAAAATTAAAATATTTTGATATTTAATAATTATAAAAGATAAAATAAAATTTTTAGATTTATTATATTATGATATATTTAATAGTAGTATTTTTAAACTTTTAAAATTAATAATTATCAATATTTATTAATTTATTAATTTTTAATTTTTAAAATATTTTATTATTTAATAATTACAAAAATATAAAAAATATATAAAACACCTTCTGGCGATCATTTAATCAAGAAATTTTATGTAAAAAATAAATATGTTTAAGAGTGATTACAACTTAACCTGTGAACAATAAATAAAAACTCCCTTTATAAACTTCTTTTTTTCTTTATTTTTCCAAATCTTCTTATTCTAAAAAAACAGTTTTTGCTAGTCTAAATAATAGTGTTTTTTATTAAAATATTTTTTTCGCTACTTCTCTTAACTGTTTTTTCATATTTTTTCTTTTTTTTTATCTACAAAAGTAGGTATTAGGAATATCCTAAATAATAATCAGGATCAATAATAATTTTAAATTAACTAATCACTTGTGATAACTTTTTAATTACCTTCCTAAACAATTACAATCTTTTTAAATTCCTAATGTCATAGAGCATACTAATCTTAGCAAGATTTTTAGTTTCTTGTAACTGTGTAATTTAAACTTTATATAATGCCTGCTGACAACTGTAATCTAAATTGACAAATATCTTAATATTGTTAACGTGCAATTCTTGCGAATTGTGACAGTTTGATAGGGTATTCAAGTAGTGATTTTTTTAAGTTTACGTAATAACCTAATAGTTGTCTCAGTAAGTTAATAGTTCTTTTACATACTGCAAAGTATATTCACATTTTAGTTGGTTAAATTCTCAGTTGATTAGGTTCTTTTACATACTGCAAAATATATTCACACCTCAGTTAGTTAAGTTCTATTATATATTGAAAAATATATTCAAACCTACAATGAATGTATAATTCATCCACTATATATTGCCTAATGTATTCAATATACTATCAAGTATATTTCTAAATGTTAAGTCAAAATTAAATGTGAATTATATTACAAATACAAAGTGTCACAAAATGTTTTAAGTAAATTGAATAAAGATTTATTGGTAAATAAATAAACTAAAAGCTAAAAATACTAAACT